AACAAAGATAGGAAACGATGTTAGTCAAATAGGAGAAATTTCTCATTCATCATGGAATTAATAACTGTGTCAGAACTAGTATCAGTCGCACAATACATGAAGGCGATTGCTCGTCTCTTTCTATCATTAGTTAATTCACGTTGATCAATAACTGAACATTTGTCTTTTATATTGATGTATGTTGATGACGTTGATGTAGAGTATTGTGAAATTTATCTATTCATATTACTGCTACGAATGAATTTGTTTATCGATGAGGCTAAATGTTGTTCATGTATTTTATTTGTAAATTATTGTTTGTTTATTAGCTTGTTAGTTAGTTAGTTTTAGTCGTAAGTCTGTTTTGCATTTTGTTATCAGATAAGTCAAGAAAGATGATGTCAAAATAAAAATAATACATAAGTCACGTCAAACTTTATCGGAGTTATTATTTTAAAACATAGATTAATTAATTCATCCTGAACCAGAAATACAGTCCACAAATAATTCAAGAAGTGAATCAAGAATCCAACAATTATAGTCAACAGTACTACACTTGTGCAAATTTTTAATAAAACTTGAAACCCTTTACCATTTCCAAAAAATTCTTTGTCAATTATCTCGGAATTTAGTATTTTATTATAAGTCTTTTTTGGACCTAAAAAACAATCTCTTGAGGTACGGACATGCGTTTATTACAGACCCTGCGTGTACAAAAAATTTAAGTGATATCACTTACTTTGAGTAACACAGTTTTGGTGATGTCGACACATTTAAATAATATTATAAGTGGGTATATATATCCTAGTTTCTACCTCGGCATAGTTTTGCATGACATGAATAGTTGTTAGACGAGAAGGATAACGGTGAATCGAGTCCTCGTATCCTGCATAATTTACCAGAAATATGGCAATCTAGCCGAAATCTGATTACGCTTCTCGCATCCTCATATCTGTTCAAATGCAGCGGTGTTAGCTTTTCGACGGTGGCAGGTGTTGTTCCTGTAATATTCCTCTAATTTATCTGACAATATGAAGTTTGAGGATTATTTTGCAGTTGTATCAATCCAAGTTTGTACATAGGCAAAAATAATGGCATGCTGATACAAGACACGTTTTTAAAATTATTTCGCGATATACTGCATAAATCTTTGAACCTGAAAAATAAATAAAATTGGGGAACCAAATAAATTAAAACAAAAAAAATGTTACTTTTAAAAAATAGAATAAAAAATGATGCCACTCTAGACCCTCATCTCATAAATTTGTATATTGAAAGACGGTTTTTTGAGAATTCTTCGAAAGAAACGACACTCTTTTTCAAAAAATATTTTGGTTCAAAAATCAAAAAGACTCAAAAAACTAAAAATGTATTATTTTTATATATTTTTTTTTTTCATAAAAGTACATCTTAAAACGAACAAAACGAAAAAAAGTTGGTATAAAGTTGACTAAATTCGGCATTAAGTTTCTACCACCCTGTATGAAATTAAGTCATTTTGAAATTATCGCAGGGAAGCTTAGAGTTTTAGTTATGTCCCCTATAAATTTTTTCGCTGTAACTTTATTATTGTAAAATACACATCTTTTTGAATTAGTCAATGCTTTTTTATTTTTTTTTGATCAAAAACGGTTAACTTTAGGAATAGGAAACCTTTATGAAAGTTCACCTAAAAATTGACGTAGAATCCACAATTGCAATAATATACAGGGTGTTCCATTTAAAATAATAAAGATGACGTCAACTTCCGGAAGCGTTAGGTGGACGCCTTTATTTTAGTTGAGGGCATGCCCGAAAACATTATTGCCCAAATTTTCAAAATTAATATCGAAGTAGTCTCTGAAATATGTCTAATGTCTTGTCACCGTGAAACACCCTGTACATAGAAGACCTCTTCTTACTTTCTGTGCAAGAAATCGCAATAGAAACACAATTGTGAGGTTGGTTGCCTATTCCTTTTCCAAAAATATAAACGATCTACGATTTTCATATAAATATGAAGAATTAATAAAGAATTCTTCTTAGTAAAACACTTTTAAAAAAATAAAGAAACGATAGAGGATTGCATTTTCATTTTAGTTGGAACAGACAGATCATAGACTCATCAAAAAATTTGAAATATGACGCAGAATTCACCTTTATGTATTGGTGATAATGCTAATCCTTTAATAATAAAAAATCGATTTAAAACGAACACGCCCACGTTATATTATCATTTGGAAAGTACCTTGAGACTTTATACTGGGTGTAACTAAAATGCTTAGCCAAACTATAATGGTGGGGTTGTACATCGCGATCTAATAGAAATTCTATAAATATGTGTCGAGGTAGGAAGTGTTAAATTAAAAAAAAATAAAATAGACATATTAATTACCTTCAAAAAAACGATTAGAGTGATCTTATTAAAATGTGGTTGTAAAATAAACAATATATTTTCATTACTTTGTATCTGTACCTCAAAAATGAAACATTTCCGGTTTATATTTTAGTCACGCCCTTTCTAGAATATCAAAAAATACTTTTTAACAAGATTCGCATAATTTTTTAATTAATTTCTCTATTTGCGTCGTTTTAAATTTATACTGGTCGATTTAATCCATATTTTAATGTCTTTATGGCCTTTGGGAAGTCGTAAATTCCCAAAGACTGTTTATATCAAGATAAATGAATATTATTCAGAATGATGTCTGTGCTGTGGAATGCAGATAAGGAAACTGCAGACTTTTAATTTCTATTGCCAACATAAAACGCAAAAATCACAATTTAAAAATTTTTACACCTCGTTTTTAAAATGCTACGAGTATAGGTATGTTTTTATAAAAATAGAAAAAAAAAAACAGAATTAAATTAGAATATTTGTAAAAAATGGTACCCAATTTTAAACCACATTTAATAATAAAGAGTTAATTAGTCATTAATTTTAGACTAGATAATAATTTTAAAGTGACAAACAGAATTCGCGTCATTTTCTTAGATAATTTTATTTGTCTACTATTTTTGGGAACTGAAAGTATTCGTTTTCGAAAATAGTCATCAAAAGTTGACATTTTCGTTAAATTTTCAGATGGCAAAGTGAGTCTTTTTGTCACTCAGCTGCAAAATACTTTTATGTTCTAGAACGCCAAAGTGTTTTTCGTTCTAGAACATAAAACAAATGTTAAAATAATTTGTAATTTGTTCGAAGTTTGATTTTATTAATTAAATAATGTACATTTTAAGTAATATAACATTTCGATATAAAACAGCAACTATTATAAACAAGAAGATTCAATTTATTTTGCACTACATGTAAATTGAAAGTGCCGATATTGTAGTGAGTTAAATTTATGCCAGATTCAGTGCTGTCCGTTAACGTAGCTTTTAGTTCTGGGTGGTGGTAATAGTTGCGAGACTTTTGTAAGAGTTATGTTATAAACAAGTTCACAATCTTTTATCTGGACATCAAAATACTTAATTATAAACATTTTTTATCAACAATTGTAAATTTAAAACATTCCACAACTTTGTCAATTTTTATTATGTTTATAAGCATTTCTAGAATTGTGACGTGATAAAACTATAAATAATTTTTAATTTATAAACAAGGAGCAGGTGGTAAATGTACATTTTTAGATATTTTCTAAAAGTAAATTAATGGATATCTGGTATTGATTTAGAGAATAGTAGTTACATATGTACTTAATTCAATTTTCAGTTATCTAAAAATGCATCTGAAGTATTATTATGTAGATGGTTGTGAGATCTGCCCAACATAACATTTATTGCACAAAGACTGTATTCTCTGCATCTTTCGGTGTCAGGTTTTTGTTAGGCAAAATTATTTTCAAAAAAAAAATTTTTGCCTGATCCTCTTGGCTGAAAATTTAGGGCAGCTGCAATGTGGTACAGGGTTGTATGTAGACTGGGTTTTCTTTTATGTAATTTTATTCAAACAAAAAGTGACACAACCGTTACCTTATTATAACTGCACTCTTTTCTTTATAAGAATATATTATTAGCATAATAATATGAAACAAAAAAGAAATACTTCTCCACTAAACGTTTCACATCTGTGTCATTGAACTGTAACATATACATGTCTGCCTCTGATCTGAAGCTTTGCATCGATCAATTTATTCGATACGTATCTAGCGGCATCCTAATGCCTGCACTGTCGGCCTGGCGTGCCGATGAACAATCTAGGTTTTTGGTTGAGGGAGTAGGTCGTGCATTTTATTGTCGTGTGTGCGTGTGTAAGTTTGACGCTTTGCTGATCGAGTGTGTGGCACGTGTTTTTATGACAGTCAGTAGCATTGTGTATCGTGAGTATAGAGCGGCACACATAAGTGCTTAGATCATATTTTTTAAGTTTCCTCAGTTGTTTCCTTATAAACAGTGAACAGTGACTATAATTTTTTCAAAATTTACTACGTTTAACGTTGTGAACAATATAACAGTTGATTATAAAATCAAAGGAAAGCATTAAGCGCAAATTCGTTACATATTTTTCTGATTAACTCTACTACATAGAGTTAGATAGGTAAAGTTGCCTGCTATTAGTGCATACTTTAATGCACTTGATTTTGATTTGCAATGATTCTTGACAACCAGTAACATCCACTTTGCCACGTAGATGCAGACTAAAGACTAATAGAACAGTTTGCTGCAATTACAGACCTTAACCCAATCGATGTTTTTCTAGACTGACACTTGAAACCCGTAGAAATGTTGACTCCCGCCTTTCACCCGAATTCTATTATCTCCAACATTCAATTTAGCCTTTCATAATGCAAGGAAAGATGTAATTAAAAAGCAATTACTTCATAATGAAGTGGTTTTACAAGCGTAACACGATACCAATATCTCTCGGAACACGCGATCAAAAGCACCGATACGTGAATATTAAATCACCTTCTTTGGTACGTCACGATCGCGCAGATAAAGATATTTTTTATGCACACAAAGATTTTATTAACTCCGATAACGCGTTGGCAAAGATAATAATGTTGTGTTATCAGTTTATCGTAGGGTAGAGTATAGCGTTGGGTTTTCAGCCTGCTCCAAAGCAAAACGTTTACCGTGGGTTCTACATCTGTATGTGTTCGTGCAAATTTTGTGAATTGGTGTAGGCGTGATCCATTTTACTGGGATTTGGAATTTAGCGAAATAAAGGATGTGAGTATCTTGTTTAGTATGGATTGTTGAAATTTTGTTCAGGACTAGAATTAAAAATCTATATTCAGTAAACCTCTTCTACATATTGGCAGATATTGGAGGGCATGTAATAAAGCACAGAAACAAAGATATTTGTACAAATGTAGCACTGCTGACATTAATTTATATAGAAAATAAGACTAACTAGAATTTGTGTCACATATTATCAGCGGATTGTTTTCAAAATGTTTCTAATTTGATTTTATTTTGTTAAATATATCCACTTTCTGGTTTGCTGCAGGAAACATACCTGTGTTAAAAATGGATATCATTAAAGTCTCAAAATTTCATATATTTTCTACAATAATTTCTTTATACTGTACCTTTTGCTACCCCATTACAACTGATTATTTTTAAAGAATATTGTAAATGTTTACAATATGTCTTTGTATTAAAAAAGTGTATACGATAAAATATTGCTTATAAAATTTTTATTTAAACAATGATTACATTAATTAAAGTTGCAGAAGCAACGCGCATAAGTACAGAAAGAAAGCAGTATAATGTATGTATAAAACAATAGTAGTATTGAATATAAAAAACGCAAAAAACAATGTTAAAAATTACAACTTCTTAAATACATGTTACTAATGCCAATAAGTAAGAATTTCTAATATTTTCTAATTTTTGACAAATCTACTTACTGTAATGTACAATATTTGGTTAGTTCGATTACGTAGAGCGACAAAATTTTGAACCAGCAACCAGGCCATACTTCTCTAAAGGTTTTTCTGAATCTGAGTTGCTTCATCACTTTAGATTTTCGTATAATCTTACGGTAATTTTCCCCACAAATAAATGAGGGTACTACTTTTTCCCTTCAAAATACATTTTGAGTCGTTCGAATGTCTCTTTTCTTCTCAGAGAAATCGGCTGTTGTTTGGATACTCGGAAATTGAGTAGCATCAGAAGAATCAAATTACAAACATCTAAATTTCCACTGAATCTTTAGGTTTTCACAGTCGCTGATTACGAAACCTGAAGTCGGAATAACAAAATTCAACATGGTCGATCTGATATGACGGAAGGAATGAACAAAGTGTTGCGATTTAGAAAGGGAATAATTTTTATCATTTAATGCAATGTTTGTTAACAAACTTCTTGAAGTTTTCAAATTGCGGTCACTATAACGTTTATTCTTCAGCCATCAGGCCTAAGATAACCATCCATCGCAGGTTTCTTCTATAAACTATTCTGATATTGTTGAGGTCGTAGAATCTAAATGTAAAACAACATTTTCGAAATTCAATATGGCGGAACCAATATGGCGGGCAATAATATCACTCTCTGACAACGTACTCATCAAAACATCGTTGCTTGTTTAATTTTGACTTTATTTTTATTAGTTGTTACAATATTAAACACATAAAATGAAAACTGTTGCATTTTAAATAAAACTAATAATGAAATAGGCAGAGCAGAAATATTTATTTCTGAGTTAAATTCACTTAGTCCAAGACAATATTTATTCTGAAGTTATCCTATCCTATAATGTCTCTAATTTTCTTTTAGAAAGGATAGAACAGAAAAACTAATGGCAATTTTTTAAATGCATAAACATTTCTCAAAAAATTGATAACTGAGATATATCTGAACCTTTGTCTGTTACCAAAAGTATATGATTTTTATTTTGCTCGTTTTTTTTTAAATATTGATCTTTAAGCTTTTCGGGGAAAAATTCTTGTTTAATTTTAATAAACAGGACTTTTTTCAAGAATACTTTAATTTGTTTTTTCTTGAATGCATGTAAAATTTGCTTAAGGTAATTAATTTATTCAATCGAAAGTCTAAACTTAAATTTAAATTTGTTCAAGCAAAGTGCATGCATGTTTCTTAGAATTTTTTAAAATATCTGATACTTCAAAGCATATGCGAATGACGTTATGTAATTTTACTTTACTGTCATATCTAAACGTAAATTTCTCGAAAAACGGTTCAATTTATTCCAAAGAAGAGGAAATTTTTCTTAATACTCCAGGAGATGAATACCTTTTTCTAATTTTAGGGTACGACGATGTAAGAAAAATATTGCGTATAGTTTCGATGTGTCAAAAAATACATTTTAATTTCCTAACAATTGAAAAATCGCCATTAACTAGGTCGATTATCTTACTGAAACACCTGTTAATGCCAGTGTTTTTAATTCTAATAAATCATCAAACAAACATTTGCATTTAAACTATGATTAGCTAATCCTTAATTAATTTCTGTTATTAGAACTTAAGTATTAAACAAGTCATTGTCAAATAGGATGATTGAAGTTTTATTTTTTTATTATTATATTACGTTATTGTTTAGTGAATCACTTCACATAGTTTACAGTATTAGTATTTATTTCATTAGTAGAACTTAAGGTGGCCATATTCCTGGCCGAGAAATAGTGAAATTTCTGGCGTTTTTAGGTACTGAAATCTTTAAAAGTACGTGTAGAACAAAAGTAAGCACAAAAATAAAATCCTTGATGTTTTGTTTATTCATTGTTACCATTTAAATTTACTCAAATAAAATAATAACTAAAAAAAGCGTTTGTAAAACATGCGTTTGCTGTTATCCTAACCCCACATTTTAAGAATTATTTTCACGTACTTATAAATTTAATAAAAGTAAACAATTTTATATGTAGGACTAAGGAAGTAAATGTTATAAGAATATTTACATGTGGAATTATATATAAAAAAGTTAGTATTTTCGTAGATTTCAGTACCTAAAACCTTGATGATTTGATCGTTTTTTGCATCTGTGAATTCGTTTTACTGCGGCGTCTTTGAAAATACTCAGGTGGCATAACATAACATTTCTGTTATTTGATAAGCTTTAGCTTTTAGATTATTCAGTTATTAAATGTTTGAAATTATTTGTCTTTGCGGAAAACACTATTTAAAGAATATGGGGCCCTTAAAATATCAGAGTATTTTGTTGTAAAAATCTTTTCAAGAGAGCATCCGCGATATAAATGTTAAAATTAATGGTATTATTAATAATTTAAACAAACACACTGTTCTATACTAAACTGAAGTACAATTTTGGTTAAAAGAAATACCTACATTCCCAGACAACAAATATTGAATGGCAAACAATATTAGTTAATTAATGTGAACTAAGAAATTTTTATTAATGCATACCTAACATTTCTTCATTGCAATTTAATTGCTTATGAAATTGTTTCCTTGACAATCATTGCTTATTCATTTCGTTGTAATACCTTTAAGTGCGAAAATATATTAAAAAATATTTATAATTGACAGTGGTGATGATGTTCGGGTGTCTGGAACATCACCAGAGTTAGAAGCAGCTGCAAAAAATGTGGCTTTATATTTGCTTTGCTACCAAACAAATCTACGGAATTCGCTTACAAACGTTTCAAGACTTATTGCCTTGAAAAAAATAAAACTCTTGATTCGAAAATGTTATGATTGCATACTGTTCCGATTTTTCTGTAATGTTGAAGGCATCTCTACGTTATGGCCAAATTACTCCATGTTGAGAGCAACTCCTAGTACAAAGGAAGACATTGATATATCAAAATATTTAAAATTACGTGTCTTTCTGAAACTGTAAACCAAAGTCGAAAGTTTTGTCCACTTGGAAACACTTATTACTCAAGCATGTTTAAATGTGAAAATTCGAAAAAATCTAGATAGATATTCCTTTTTAGGTTGCCTTGATATTTGGTGTTGCTGGTGCATGTCGCCGTGTGAACTGTATTAATTACATATACAGGGTGTTTTAGGATTAACGTCTTCCTAAAGTTTATCGACAGAAACCAGAAGCACCCTTCCGAAAAATCAATATTGCCATGAAACTATAAGAGTTAGGAAAAAAGTGAATGTACACTTTTTGTCAATAACAAACTGTTCTATCTAAAAACAGCATCATTTTTTATATTCAGTAGGGCCGTATTATTATTATTTTTTATAATTTAATGAATCTGAGTCCTCATAACTCCGCCACTGGTTGCATGCGGGACTTCTACTTCTATGGAAAAATGGTATCTTATATTTAAAAAATTCGAGTTTTTTTAAAAATCTTTAACGCCCTATATTTCAAAAATGAAGCGTTTCTGGAAAAAAATGTATACTTGATTTTTTTCGTATTTTTTTATGAGGAAAACCTCCTTAAAGTTTGTCGGCTTAATCCTGAAACACCCTGTATAGTTTGTGCGCAGCAAGTGGTGCTGAAAGGCTCATTTTGGATAGTGACCATAGAATAAAAAGTTTTCCTCTATTATAGAAAATGTCTGGCAGGCAAGACTAAAAGAGTTACAATGAGGTATGCTTAGCGGGAAATGTTTCCAATTGATTAACATGTGGTGAAAACGCACATTTACCGTAAAATAATAAAAAAATTAACAAAAACAGTTTTAGAACACTTAGATCGACTCGAAGATATATTACCTATACTTATTTGTTTCCAAATTTTGTTGTCATTTAAATAGCCGCCTCAGAAGTATATTCCGATATAAATACCCGATACCCGCGTCACTCTATTTTCGTCGATGTGTAAGCAATCTGATCATCTCAGTTAGCGGTGACATGATCTCAAAATGCACGTCAAGATATAGGAGGCGTCTAATTAGTAGCTCTGATTTAATCTTTTTTTATAGATGGAATAAAAATATTTTTGTAGGTTTTGCCGGCGACGCTTTTATTGTTTTCCTTTGATGTATCAAGGAAAGTTTGATTTTTCTCCCAGATAAGGATTATTTTTATAGCGACAAAGAACGTTTGACATGTTGAAGTGTGTAAACTTGTAGAATGCTTTCATCAGTTATTGTTTTCGGCCTTTTTTATTAGAATAATTTCGTATTTGTAATAAAATTGACAGCGAACAACAGTTTCGGAAATTTTGTTGCAACAAATCATGTTTCTTTGTTGATAACTTGTTTAGTACATTAATTTTGTTTGTACACATTAAACCTAAATAAATGATTGATTTCAACATGACAGACAATTGAGGTTAAA